TAGTTTGTAGATAAAGTTCACAGATAAAATAGATTTTAAAAAAGTTGGCGATCCAACAAGCATGAATATTACGTGAACCAGAAGAAATCAAGGTACATGTGATACAACACAGTTGTAAGAGATTTTCAAGTTTTCAACGAGTTTTACGGCTATACCCTGCCTCTCGAGTCAGACCAGAAAAAAAGGAAACAGCACAAGAGTTTCCAATAGATAAAATTTCCAAGCCACGTTATCTTCCTGCATGTGTACATTTTTGGTTTTCCACCACACGACTATTCTTCTCCACAACTGCCAGCGACCGAAAAAAGAATTTGGATATTTCTCGTATTTTCTGTCAACGAGCCGAGACCAGCTTTGGCGTGGAAAAATTAAAAAAAAAAATCAGAATATCCAGCACGTCGTAATGACACGCAGCATCCAAACGATGCAAACAAGAAAAAAATGAACAAATGCATCGAAACGTGTAAACAGGTCCCAAGATGCGCTAAACTCATGGCGTTTCGTATGCCATGCGTCGTATACCTACACTAATTTGTATTTCGTTGGAAAGCGTAAAAAGTACGTGTGCAGCCGGGATTTTAGGACGGCTCAACCCACACGTACGTAATATACAAAGCATCTTGGAATGAAATGAAAGCAACACTTGGTGCATATAAAATAATCACCAAAGGACAGTACCTATGCGTGCATTTTTATGCATTTTTGTGTATAGGTGCATGTATATGGCTTAAAAAATCATCGAGTGAGGTTGGCCGGCTGCAAATGCCGAACTTCGAGTTTCGACGGCTTCGAGTACCTTCGACGCGACCGGGAAACCTGCTCTCGAGTGCTTCGAGGCTTGCATGTGCACACACCCACAGCTGTGTGTTGTTTACGCATAATAAATTTTACTGACACACGCCCAAAATCTTCGACTCCTTTGAGATTTGTTTTTGTGGGTATAGGTAGGTATGCACGCGAAAAACTTTGATGGCTCGGTGGTTAGCCTGCCATAATTTTTAATGTGAAAGATTCAAGGGGTCGCGAAAAAAATCACTATGAGATTTTAACAAGACCACTAGCGGATTCTCTCGGTATGAGGTTGTCACTCAAAGAGGATCATCTCAGAAAGGGAAGGAAAAATTGAAAATGGATAAAAAGGGATGCGGGATTGGGATCAATATCCTCCCAAGAGGTGGAGAGGGTCCGTAAAAACTCATCAAGTGATGTGGTTAACGATTGTTCGCGAAATCATTGAGTTTGAAATAGGTGATGGAGAAATGAAGAGAATTAATGAAATAATCCTTTCCTCGTAAATTTTAAAAGTTTATCGTATCACTGTAGTAACTTTCCGAGGAACTATGAAATCATTGGTAAAATTTAATGTGACCGTCCACTTGATGATGTTTTCACAATTTCTTGTTACACCTGCAAAATGCTTAAACTAAGGAAAGGACATCGAAATATTAGATAAAAGAAACTCCATACGGTAGATCTCACGAGGCAAAGTTGGCATACCAGCCATATAATCGTAGAATTGCAATCGGGTGCTTATTTTCAGTGAAAGTATTTTTCCAATGTTTCTCGAACATTCGTTACCTCGATGCTCGACACAAGCGCGCGTGTGTGTACCTACCAGAAATTCTAACGTGGTTACGAGCAAATTGAATTGTGCAAGGAAAAGTTGGCTATATTGTGCGCCATCGCTTGGGCACTTATTTTTTCGAAACGCACTTTAGGTAAGTATTTGTAAATACGGCAACAAAATATTGCAATTTCAGTTAATAACGCAAGATAATCCGCCTTGTATGAATATTACAATCCGAGTTTCATTGATATCATTATTGAAGTAAATACAATGTTTGTTTATTAAAATCTTGGGTCACACGGCTTGGGCACGGATGCTTTTTCAATTTTTTGCTTAAAATTGAAATCTATTATTTGTGCTAAGAAAACAAACCGACTATCACGACGACAACGGTCTCCGAGGTACCTAAAGCCTAGGCTGGATAGTATTTTTATCATTTCTTAGTTAAATACAAGTGTTATTGAAAAAGATAGTTGATTTTATGGTATTTCTCCATTAAATAATATAATTTATAGGTTACAACGTTTTTACTTATATTTCAATTGAAGAATCAAAGTTCGATGTAGTAATTATTGTAATTTTTTGTTCTTACTATGCCCTTACGCATAAAATGTTTATACAACAACAGTTTTGTTAAGTATCTAGCCATTTTTACTCGTCAAATGATTATTTATAAGATTTAAAAAAAAGTTCATTCGTAAATAGGATTTTATTGATTTTCTGATTTATAAGTTGTATTAATTTTTCACAATGTTGATTCATAATATCGATTATATAGGTATACAACAACAATTGTCATTCCTTAGCAACACCTAACTCCATCATGTATGTATCTATTAATACTTGAGAATTTTTCATAAGAATTGAAGTATTTACTACTATAATATCAGCTCTTTATTGCAATAAATGTTTGATGTTTCGTTTGAAACTGTATAAAAAAAATTATTTTTAAGTTAGGTACCTGGTTTTCCAGGGAATGAATTTCTTATATATAGTGTGAATAACAGAATGTCTGTCACTTTTGAATGTGAGTCCACGTGCTGAAAATAACAGAATATTTGCCTGCCAAAAAATTCGGTGGCTCTCCCAGTGAGGTGGTGTCGCTGCTGCTCCACGTCCAACGCAAGAGAGTACCTCTTTTAAACAGCGGGAGAGTCCCTCTCCGTNATTTAGGTGTTTTACAAACAAGTGATATTTATAAAATTTTTGTTCAAGAAATTACATTAAGTGTTATGTGAATCGAAAAGCAGTGACATCGCGTAGCATATTTTTTGATAATCTTGATTTGGAAAAGCAAGGTTATCCTTAAAAATACATAAATTTATTCACACGAATCATCGAACTCCAAAAATAATAGGAAGTTTTTTAGTTTACATTTTAAGTAATTGAAAAATTTTATGATATAGCAAATGAGTTAAACAATTACAGGCACATACATTGTATCACAAAAACACTGACTGCTCCTTTTAATTTGGTACAGTATAAAATTTATCCGTGTCGATTATCCGATCATGCATTATTATCAGTCCTATTGCGTTTCACGAAAAAAGACAATAGGCCATTATTATATGATGAATACTATAATATATACATAATTTCAAGTCCTGCGTTGATGCACATACATGCAATGACGTCAAGTCGGTCTGCCATCGTTCGTCTACCCTTTGTCACGTTTCCCACTTATATTCTCTTTACATATGACGAGTAGCAAAGTATCATTTTTTCATATATTTTGAGTAAAATCTTAGGCAGTTTCTAAAGCATCATTTGTGTTACGAGTTTTTTGCTAAGTAAGAGTGTATCAGAACGTAATTTTGTAAAATCAGTAAGATCGTTTATTTTAGGCATTGATAATTTATTAGCACATTTTTTCTAAGCACTACAGGTTTTAATGATTTTGATTTAAAAAATTTAATGGCAATCAATGGTTCTTTATTTACTGTTTCTGGTCTGCTGAAGTGTCACGTCCTTGCCCTATTCATGATTCTTATCAAATAACTGAGTATATCCTGAAGTCCTCTAGTAAATGCGTACTCTTCGCGTTTGAAAAAAACTTGCGTAATTGCAATACGATTTCAGTAAATCTTACTGTTTTTTTCCTTCTTGTCTCACGCATGCATTAAACCTGCTAGTTTCCGCATTTAAGGGTACTCGAATAAACTAATCTAGTAGGACGTATTTTTTTTTTTTTTTTTTTACAAATTTTAAAAAAAATTACTGTTATGAATACTAATTTGCTCAAGAGATAGCAGCATATAAAAAACTAGTGCTAAAGTAATAAAAATTACTGTAACATTTTACGATTAGGAAGTTTGTGATACGGGAAAGTACGTTTTTATATAATTTAAAAAAAAAAAAACCAATTAAGACTGGTATAAAAGTTTTATCCTCCATTCATCATTTTTTACTATTTTTTTTACACTTAATTCTCTAACTCGTGTTATTACATGTGGGTTGGGCGAAAGATAAATAGACTCTTAATAAAGTGGCCCGGTATGCAAGTCCCAATCTTTTCTATCTTATCGAATATTATGAGCAAATCAAAGCAAAGTTCAGTTTCCACACGAAAAATGAATAGATTAACAAATAATAAATAAACATGAAAACAAGTAAATACATGAATATTTAAGATTAGTTCCTAAAAAAGAACAAAGTACTGGTAATCTGCTGAATAAGCGGAAAAATGTTTAATTTTAAAGGTTGAGGTTATTTGAAAAAATATAGTTCAAGTAGACGTGAGTGAACCAGAAAATTTTAAGTCAGTTTATAAAAATTAACTTTACATCCAAGATTTTTCCTTAACAAAAATTTTCAATTAGTTTCGTGAAATAATTTCAATATTAATAATTTACAAAGTCCAAAACGCAACAATAATCATTAGCTTAAGAAGAAAAAGGCTTTTTTCCTCGGTCTTTTTTTCGTGAGATTATTATAATCATGATTTGTCCGTCAGTTGTCGTTGACCGCTTTTGTTTAAGATAAAAGTATGATTGTACTGAATAGTACTTATAAATAGATTTAAGATCAGAGAGACAATCGAGGAATTTTTTTTTCAGCGATGAAGCTTGAACTTTCTTAGTTTACTTTTATTTTACTAACTGAGATTTTTATCTTAAAAATTTAATGCATTCCTCAGTTATTTATAACAAAGTGTGTTAAAAGTAGTAATAATTCCTAAAAATCACTTGATAGTACAAAAAATCGTTTTTTTACCAGAGTAATTAAATAATTTAATTATGCATGCATTCAAAAATTTATTTAACATAAAATTAGAAAGAAATACGCACACAATAAAGTTTTTTCATACAAACTACATTCAAGTAATTTTTATTTTTAAACTCATTCAAAAGATTGCATATAATTTTCAGCTACAACTTGTAATAAGTATTTTTTATTTTTACTGTAGAGTATGACAATTAAAAAATAAACTTACTCATTCACTGTCAAGGCTACTTGGCCAGCTTGCCACCTGCTCTCTTGAACCATTGTGGTGATTTTTCTACTCTCTTTTTGTAGTCAAACAACATTAAACTTTTTCATTTAGAACCTTTTAAAGCTGAAACAAAACAATTAAAAATTAAATTAAACATTTTGTATAAATGATCTCATAGTTTGCACATGTATATTTAAGATATAAATGTTACACAGACATAAATATATAAAAAAAACTAATTTTTGTGGATGTAAGGCACAATCGAGACAATTTTTACAGAAAAAATTAGGCTATCGTTTTCAACAGTTTTATTTTAAACAACAGTTTGTCAGATATTCGTACGTGGAACCAATTGATATTACTCATTCGTTATCCAAAATTTATTTCACACCAAAAGTATTTGATTCATTTTTGTTATGGCAAAAGTCAGGCTTGGGCACAATTATTTTAGGGATTTTTACACAGTAAAAAAAATTTTTTTTCCTAATAAAGTTGATTTTTTTCTGAAAAAAACTTTTATTTATCACTGTTCACAATACAACGATGAAAAATTTTTTTTTCTAGCTGATAATAAATTTTGGATATTACAGTTTGTTACAAAGTATTTAAAATCAAATATTTAAATACTTGTTTCTGCTAAAAAAAATATACATTAAAAAAAAAAGAGACTTCGATGGACTGAACCATGAATCAGAACATAAACATTATTTATTTCACTGTAAGAGAAAATTGTATGGTACAGATAGTTTTTATCTGAACTGCCTTAGTCAATTTTATGATATTTTATTTTTAGAATAGGTAGTTTAAAAATGAGCTTCTAATTTGGCATAGTTATTTATAATATTTTGAGTTTTTCATTTGGAATAGGTAGGAAATAATAATGAAACTTAATTGTTGATAGTTTGTAACAAAAGTTTTAAAAAAAAAGATATTTTGTTGC